ATGTACTTTGGTTGCGGGCACATCCCCAGTGGGGAGTGTCCAGGAGGCAACTGATCGATGTTTCTCTCTCATCGATGTTTCCAACTCTCTATCCCTCTCCCTTCTTCTCTGTAAAAAAATCAATAAAATATATTTTAAAAAAAAAGAAATACAGTATATATTAAAAAAAAAAAAAAAAAGACACCAGTTGTTTACTACTGGCTATATAAGCACCAGATTTTTCTTCTGTGAGTGTCTCCTGCCTGAAGAGAGGAGGACTCCACATCGCTTCGTGAGACAAGCCGTTGATTGACTGCTCTGCTGTGTGAGCCTGAACCAACTGCAGCCGCCTGTCTGTCTCTGTCTTCATTGTCCTCTTTTGGTGTGCATCGCCAGGTGGCCTTTGCTGGAGCCTAGGACCCACTAGGAATAGGTAAATAAACCTTGTGTGATTGCATACTAATTCTGTCTTGTGTGTTCATGTGTTCCAGTTCGGCTCATCTGTCTAGACATTGAAATACCAGGGGATAGGCTGTTATTGCTGACTCCTGGTCACCTGTGTTTGTCCCACTAAGTCTAGACAGATAATTAATTAATTGAGGCATAATTGGGACACTATCTTAGCACTTATCATAGTACTGAAAACTCTGTCTTTTCTACTAGATGTAAGTTTCTCAAAATCAGAGACTGTTTTTATTCTTTTCTATATCTCCAACACCTGGCAAACTACCTAGGACATAAAAGATACTTAATAAATTTTGTTGAACTAACTTGACCTCAATGAACTCACATTTTATTGGGAGAGACAACTTTCCTACAAACAATTGAAATACTAGTATCTTACCTAATAATAGACAAACATGCAAATTGACCATACTTTCACTACACCCAAGCCACGCCCACCAGCCAATCAGAACGACTATTTGCAAATTAACCCAACCAAAATGACGGCCAGCAGCCACGGAGCTGGAGCAAGCAGGAGACTTGGTTGCCCCAGCAATGGAAGAATCCAAGCTTCCCAGCCAGCTGCTGCCTCCTCTCAAGGCAACAAAGTTTCAATTATAGAAGGTAAATAAACCCCAGATACCTGCTTCCAGTCGCCATGGCCACGGAGCTGGAGCAAATTAAAACAAAAAACAAAAAAAGGAAAGGCTGGGCGCTTCAGTCACCGGGGGGCTTGGTCAGTCTGAAAACAGCCATCAGCCCCTCACCCAGGCTGGCCAGGCACCCCAGTGGTAACCCCCACCCTGAAGGGGGTGTGGGCAGCCTGAAAACGGCCCTTAGCCCCTCACCCAGGCTGGCCAAACCCTCATGGGGTGAGGGTCCCCACTGGGGGGCTTGACCAGCCTGCAAACAGCCATCAGCCCCTCACCCAGGCTGGCCAGGCACCCCAGGGGGGAGCCCCACCCTGATCCACGACACCCTTCAGGGCAAACCAGTCAGCCCCCACCCGTGCACCAGGCCCCAATTCTGTATAATAAAAGGGTAATATGCAAATTGACCCTAACAGCAGAACAATTGGTCACTATGACACACACTGACCACCAGGGGCAGATGCTCAATGCAGGAACTGCCTCCTGGTGGTCAGTGCGCTCCCACAGGGGGAGCTCTGCTCAGCCACAAACCAGGCTGATGGCTGCCAGCACAGCGGTGGTGGCGGGAGCTTCTCCTGCCTCCTCAGCAGCACTAAGGATGTCCGACTGCAGCTTAGGTCTGCTCCCTGCTGGCAAGTGGACATCCCCTGAGGGCTGCCGGGCTGCCAGAGGGATGTCTGATTGCCAGCTTGGGCCCGATCCCCCAGGGAGCAGGCCTAAGCCAGCAGGAGGACATCCTCCGAGGGGTCCCAGACTGCAAGAGGGCATAGGCCAGCTGAGTACCTTCCCCCCCACCCCCAGTGCACAAATTTTTGTGCACCATGCCTCTAGTAGTGATATAAGTGCTTTATAAGATGTGTGCACAAGGGATTATGGGAGGTTTGAGCAGGTACCATATCTTCTTTATGATGTCAAAAATTAAACTGTGGAAGTAAGTCCTAAGGTCTGAGTGATATTGTGGTTCTCTACCCAGGAGAGAATATGATCAAAAAGGGACATAGAAAAAGTAGAATCTTATACGACACTTATTATTAAGTAGAGGCCCAGTGCACTGATTCATGCACCGGTGGGATCCTTGGCCTGGCCTGTGGGGATTGGACCAAAACCAGCTCTCTGACATCCCCCGAGGGGTCCCGGATTGTGAGAGGGTGCAGGCCAGGCTGAGTGACCCCACCAGTGCACAAATCTGTGCACCAGGCCTCTAGTATGTATGTAAGATCTTTGCTTAATCTCTTCCCACCTTTTCCTCCTCCCCCCTTCCCTCTGAGATTCATCAGTCTGTTCCATGTTTCCATGCCTATGTTTTCCACTCTTGCATTGAGCATCGGCCCCCTGGTGGTCATTGCACGTCATAGCTACCGGCCATATATATATGATTTGCAAAATTCTATACCCTGGCTGATCATATTTGTTTTCTCAAGCAAGATCTCAGCAGCTGTCCTGGAAACAGAGATCTCTGATACTCACCACTTCTGGGAGAAAGATATTCAGTTTGATAGCTTATATAGTCTATTTGTCCTACTGCTTATGTACACCAATGCTCCATGTGGGAACCAGTGCTTGATCTCTTTGTGAATTGAAGAAGACTGAACACACTTTTTAAAAAAATATATATTTTGTTGATTTTTTTTTATTTTTTTTACAGAGAGGAAGGGAGAGGGATAGAGTCAGAAACATCGATGAGAGAGAAACATCCATCAGCTGCCTCCTGCACACCCCCTACTGGGGATGTGCCCGCAACCAAGGCACATGCCCTTGACCGGAATCGAACCTGGGACCCCTGAGTCCGCAGGCCGACGCTCTATCCACTGAGCCAAACCAGTCAGGGCTGAACACACTTTTCTTATTAAGATAGCATAGCCATCTGGTACTCTGATTAGATAAGATAAGGGCCCTTTGTCTTTGCAGAGAGCATATCTTCTCTTAGAATCAGTGGTTATTGAGAGTCATTTTTTTGCTTAATCCAGATACCCTGCATCTGAACCCTTCAGGGGGCACTGAGGTTTCTGCAAGGGAAGAATAAGCAGCCAGAACAATTTGTAGTGAAGAAGATCTAGTACAAAATACCTGGTTGAGGTACTACTCCTGAAGGAGCAATCCTTTGGGGTTAGGAGTCAATAATCAGGTGTCTACAAAACACCCTGCCATTTTGACTAAATATATGTCTTGTTCTCAAGGAGGAGAAAGAAATGTGCACTAGGAGCCAGAAAGACCAAAAATGAGAATGTGAGTATGGTCATGGGAAAGGTCTGTGAAGAATAGGGGCAAGGGATAGGACAGCTGGAAGAAGAGTGGGAAAAGGCCCGTCTCTAGAAGGAATCATATTGCCTTTTGCAAGCATTTATCCAGGACCTTGTATTCACTATAAGGAATATGCAAGTCCTGCATTTAAGAAGCTTACATTCAGCCCTGGTGGTGTGGCTCAGTGGTTTAGAGTGTCAGCCCTTGCACCAAAGCATTGAGGGTTGGATTCCTGTTCAAGGGCACATACCTGAGTTGCAGGTTCAATTCCCAGTCTTGGTTGGGGCACAGATGGGAGGCAATCAATCAATGTCTCTCTCTCTCTCTCTCTCTCTCTCTCTCCCCCTCCCTTCCATGCTCTGGAAAAAAAAAAAAAGTCAATGAAAAAACATCCTCCTGTGAGGATTAAAAAAAAAGAAGAAGAAGAAGAGGAAGACAAAGAATGAACTGGGGAGATAGTTTTGTACACCAAGTCCAGTCAATATAGGGCAGAATGGGATAAATGGACTCCTGAAGAGAAACAGAAAATATTTTATCATTAGAGGTGCTTAGCTCTAAAGAAAATGCTGGGAATAATGCCAGGAGAAACTAAAGGAGGACTTAACATCTTTTTAAAAATTCATCTGTGAACTCCAGGGAACTGGGTTCCAACCATTCATCATCTGTGGAACCATGCAGTCACTGAGGGTGGCCCTGTTGAAGGGAGGCCTTACTATTTGAAATCCTTCATAGGTTCCATGGGATGTTTAAATACAAATTTCACAAGATTTTAAGGACAGTCAAAAAAAAAATATGGTACAATGTTGCCTATTGCCAACAAGCATGGGGCTCAGGGAAGCAACTGCAGTTTCTACCCTAAGGAAACATCTGTTGCTCGTTAAAGGTGACTCTACTAGGGCAAGGCTCAAAGGGGACAAATCCATTTGAACAAATCTGGTGGAAAGCTTGAGACGCCATGCTCCTAGGAAGTCATGAAATAAACAATGACTTTCTGCCAGTGCTGTTATTTATATTTAATTTTGGCCAGTGTTTTTAAACCATGTGCACGGAAGGGCTCCACTCCTCCCAGGACCGAGGCCACAGAGCTGTTCTGTGGTCAAGATCTCTAACATCTGCACTTTCCTTTGGAAAGCATTACTTTGACATCTTTCGTGCCTGCTTTTCTGATATGTATATATTTAAATAATAAATAGGAGAAACCTATTCCTTTGTCCCAAAGAAGGCAAAAATCAGTTGGATTGGCTATGGCTATGGACCACCGTCTCTGGCTGATAAAAGAGGTCAGAGCACAACCCCACCATCACCCTCATCCCACTTTGCTGAAACCCTTACCCAACAGCTGTGGGCTGCTGACAAAACCTCAGGAGTGTTTGCTCTACTAAGTAATCTATTTTTAGGAAGTGGTAAGATATTATTTAAATGTTTATTAACAATGCCTTTGTTGAGGATAAAAGGGTAAAGGGAACCCATAGCCAGTTTCCATCTCTTGGTGTCTTGCAGTTTTTATCTTGTTAAAGAATCAAACTATAATGTACCTCAGAGGAAAAACACTCTGATTTCAGCTGGTCCGCTGTACTGCTTCTTATTCACAGTGAAAAATACCAAATTTTTAACAAAATATGAAATGCAGAAGTGAAAACTATTTTAAAGCAAATAATTTAAAATAAGGTAGAATACTCATTTTAAATGATTTTAATTGTATAATATTATGTTCCAACTCAAAGAAGAATATTGCACAATACTTTTATATCACAATTATTATTTTTCTCACTCTCTGGTGAGATTTTGATAAACAAAGTTGACTTTGGAAATAACACAGAGAATGTCTTAATTGGTTAAATTTCAGTAACCTGTGATGAAATGAAAGCAGGATATCACATTCATATAAAAGACAAGTACATATTCATAAATTCACTTGGCTGTAGTGAAAAATAAACTTCTCATGTACTTAATAAAACTTAAAGAAAAAATTGAGAATGCTGTGAAAATAGACTGTAACTCCAAATTTTTTTCATGTACTCTTTTGCTATTGAAAATCCATTACACCTGCAAGACTTCTAAGAATAACTGATCACATACGAAGAAGCTAACATCTGACATTTTTAAAACAAAATCTAGATTAAATAAATACAATTTTGCACTGTTAACAAAATCTGTGAATGGTAAGGTAAAATTAACCAAATAACATAAACAAACAAAAATAACCCACCAGAAAAAGATGTATCATGTCATGGCACCTAGAAATATTTCTGTTCAAATGTATGAATCTACAGCATTTTCCCTATGTAACAAACATAGTGTCATCACAGAGTAAGGAGGAAATGCTGAAAGTTTAAGAACATAAAATATTGTCCGGGCCAGGTGAATCTGTTGGTTGGAGCATCGTTTTGGCACCAAAAAGGTTGCATGTTCTATTCCGTCAGGGCACATACCTAGGTTGTGGGTTCAATCCCAGTCTGGGCACATATGACTGACAGGCAACCAACCAGTGTTTCTTTCTCACATGTTTCTCTCTCTCTCCCTCTTTTTCTAAAATCAATAAACATATCCTCAGGTGAGTATTAAAAACATAATAGTAAGATAAATAAAACATTAGTGGTCACTAAGCAACATTAATTCCATGGAACTCCCAATTTTATGAATTCATTACAACCGTTTTTATTGTTTCTCCTCTTTGCCTTCTAATTAGTATTTTTAGCAGAGGCATTGCACTGGAGGTCCAGAGGGGGGTATATGCCTCAGGGGACAGTTGTGTTTTTTAAACTCCCATTATGTGTTTTTGTTAATTTTAGAATTGTTGCTTATCAAACTCATGAACACACCCTACCTTTGCTCTATTTTTTATTTATTTCCAGGAAAATTCAACCACAGCATAAAGAGAAAAGACACAAACATGTTACACTGTCTGACACAGCATTCACTCTTGCTCTGCCACTGACTTTCAGAAGCTGGGAATTATTTCAGGATTGTTGGTGTCTCTGTTCATGCTTAAGTTAGATATTCCACACCATGAATTGTTTTATGGTTGTCCAAAGATACAATTAATTGTTCACATTTGTAAACATTATAGGTATCTAACATCTGGAATATTTACTCTATCCATTATTTTCATGAAGCCCTAATATTTTATTAAATACTTGAAAAAACTCTTTGTAGAAGATACCCTCAGAAACACTCTTCTCAAAAAGAAAAGGGTAAGATAACAGGATTAGTTTGTTGTATCTTAAACTGAAAACACTAATTACGATCATATATCAGAAAACAGAATTATTCCATTCAAAGCTGATTCTCATTCATATTGATGATTGGAGATTTACTTAGAATAAAAGATAGAGAAATTATGTAGCCTAGGATGATGCCAGACTTGCATGAGGGACAATTTTTTCAATTGAATGTGGATATTGGGCTATGACTATTTATGATCTTGTTTGTTTATTCATGAGCTAAGGATATGACTCTTTGTTGTTTTCTGTTCATTTTTAATATTGTGTTCTATTTCAAAACCAGTTTAAAATTTTTAAACTAATTTTAACCATCTGTCACTTTAATTCCATTTGGGTTTCAACAGAGGACTTATTTATAGCATGGGCAGAGAAAAGCTCAGCACCCATTTAAATGACCAATTACACCGTCATCCTCACTCAGCATTGCAAGTACCAAACTTCATTATAAACTCGGGAAAAATAAAACTTCAGATCCAAATATACATAAATTACTTGTAGCATTTTAAATTAAAGTCAGGAAATATTTAAAGTCTTCTAGCCTTTTCACAATTAGTGTAATAACATTCCCACAAGTTGAGAAAAAGTTATTTGCTTCAAATGCTAATCTGTGATATTTCTGAATATTTTTGCCGTCAGAAATATTGGCAAAAATGGAACTTAATTGTGAGTGAAAAATATATAACAATACTAAATAAAACCCTTCCCTAGTTGAAAACGTCATTCAGAAACATCTGCAGAAAACAAAACCCAAAACAACAATTTCTTAAATCTTCACACAAATACATCTAGTTTTCTTTAATCAGTAATCAAAACCCTGCAGGTTATGTGACACATACAATCACTCAAGCTAGGGCAAGCCTACGATAGCATTTCTTTTACTTACAAAGATCAAAACTAATTTTACATAAAATATCATAATTTCATATATAATACCTACTGATTATAATTTGCTAATTCCACAAGGTATACCTTAATACCTTACAAAGGTACATAGGGGAGGAAATCCAACATTAATTTTTCTATTCCAGAGACTCAGTATGGACTCCCCTCTTTGGGCATATAAACCGGGGTACAGCCTGTGGTCTGGAGAAATGGGCCAACAGTATTATTGGTGTGGTTTTTAGCTATCCTTGTGACACCCAGAGCACAGTTTCTTTAATCTAAGTAAAGTTACATGATAGATGATTCCTGCCTTCAGAAACTGATGTGTCAAATATTTATTTATCTTAGTTACCTTTTAAAAACCTTATTGACAACATGTCCACATTGACAAAGTCTTTAAAAATAAAAACCCTATATTAAGGCTTTCAAGTAGACTTTAGATGCACATTTTCACATAAATTTAAGTTCAACAGCAGCTCTGACATTGAGATTTAAGTAATTCATGTGCTTTTTATCTTTAAAGAATATATTCTCTAACCTATATGTGATTTCTGAAAATCTGTCCAACTCCTATCTACAAGAAAAAAATTATCTAGGCATTTCTATTACCATTTTTTAAAAAGATGCTGATACTTTCTAGGTCAGTTTTTTATTTTCAGGCTTTCATTTAGGTAGATTGTGAGAACTATCTTGATATCCTTTTTCTAAGTCCTGTACATATAAGTAAATAATGCAAACAGAAAGATAATTGAACTACCGGTTGAAGGTGTTTCTATAATGTTAAACTCATACATCTCCTTTTATTCATTTGTTCCATATGAAAATCAATTCATTCAAGGGTTTTGTCACAGAACACTAGAAAGAGCAACTTTAAAAAAACTGTCTGTAAGTGTTTAAAATTAAACTTTAAACCAGACCGTTATCTGTTAATGTTGAACCGTGATCAGAACCACAGCACTGTACAAGCAATAATAAAAACTCTTCCAGAAGCTCCTGCTTCTGTTTTACCTCTTGAATTTCTTTCAGGAAATATATAGTGTTGTACTTTCTTTTCTTCAGAAACAACAAATTGATCAAAGAAAATGATTATAGGTTACTGTTATAAATGCACCGATACCCATGCTTTGAAGAACTGACAGTGTATTCTACAGATATACTATATGTGCCATAGACTATGAAAAAGGAAACACTTTCGGGGAAAAAAATCACATCACAAAGTGTATTATAAAAATAAATTACATAGCATGTGCCCATGGACCTGAAAGCTTTGCAAAAGGAGGAGAAATTGCTTTTGACACAAAGATTGAATTGCTCTTGCAACCTATTTTTATATTATCAGCAATGCCATTTTCAGCTTTTACATTATATTCTCAAAAAAATTCACTGGAAGTAGAAAATTATTTTCAGTAGTGATCAGTAGCCTGGAGGACCTTAGTGATGATGGAGAGCTGTAGTAACACTATCCATTCAACAGGGATTCAGAGGCAGTACACACACCCAGTATGTGCTTGATTTACCATTTCATCGGGAGTTCATGCGTAACTGGTGAATGATGATGCTTTCTATAAAGAGAAGAAAAACACAGCATTTTCAATTACACTGAAACTCAAATCAATAGTTTATGTGAGGATCAACACCACATCATTTCATTAAAAGACCATGGATGTTAAACAACACAACAAACAAAAACAGGTACATGAGCCCAATAGCTTCTCCTGCAGTTTTTTACTACTCTTGGGTAACATATTTGTATTGGCGTAGGTGCTTTACCTCCAAAATTCTTAAAGCTTTTCAGAAACCACGTCTAATATTCTAACAATATTAGATCAATTTTACTCAAGCAAAGAACTAAACACAAAGACAGTAATTACTACATACGAGCCCCATAGTGGGAAACCAGACTATTTCCTAGAAGTAACTCACCTAGAAGTAACTCTCTGTTCTGAACAATATTCATATACTTTTAATTTCTTTTTTAATGCATCTGAACTTGAGTTTTAATAAGGAAATATTCATTATCTATTCTTAAGAAGTTAATAAACACAGGTAACTTACTTTTGTCTCTGACTGCTAAATCTAAATTCATTCGTATAAAAGTAAATAAAAAATAAATTGAGATAGCAATTAGAACAGTACGAGCCACATTGTGGGTGTGTGATATTTATATTTATTGATTTTTTTTAGCTTAATCTATATGCCTTCATGAACAAGTAGCTTTTTTTTTCATTCTATCATTCAAGGATTGTTTATTGAGGCCCAATTATGTGCACATCACTGTGCTAGGCATGGAACTACCTTGGTGAGAAAAAATGACAGTCTTGTCATTGCTGAGATTATAAAGAGCATAGGAAAGAAATCTAAGCCTCAAATGGTTCCTCTGTCTGAAAAAAACTATTACCTCCCTGTCACATATGGCAATGTTGTAAGTGTAGAAAATAACATCAGGGTTTATCAATAGGGTGAGAAAATTTCCACCTATTATTTTCACTTTAATTTTAAATACTAGTTTAATTTTTATTTTTACTTCAGTAATTTATATCTAAGCATTAAGTAAAGTACATTATGTCATAGACTTATTGGTTTGTGCTAATTATGTTCAGTGGGTCAAAAACACAATGTTTCTTAATTCTTTCATTAAATTACCACTAGGGGGAGATATTTCCATTCCTTCCTTCTACCTATCAATTAAATTTGGGATAAAGCAGGTAACAAAGCAAAATAAAATAAAATGTATAAATGTTTACATTTAAATATAAAATTTTTATAAAGCTTTTATGACATACATACAATTTTTTCACTATACCAGAAATCTTTAAGAATCATCCTCATGTTTTTCACTGGAAAATTGTTCTAGCTTTATAATTTTTCAGTGCCTAAAAATATATCAAAATCTTAAGGCAAAAACTAAAAACGCTAATTAAAATATCTAAGATTAAAATGTTATTTCCCACTCAACACTTTTTTTTTTTTAAATTTCTGTAGCCCTAACTGGTTTGGCTCAGTGGATAGAGTATAGGCCTGCTGACTGAAGGGTCCCGGGTTCTATTCTAATCAAAGGCATGTGCCTCTGTTGCGGGCACCATCCCTGGCCTTGGTCAGGTGTGCAGAAGGCAACCAATCTATGTGTCTCTCTCACATTGATGTTTCTCTCTCCCTTCCACTCTCTCTAAAAATCAGTGGAAAAATATCCTCGGGTGAGGATTAACAACAACAGTAAAATTTCTGTAGTAATTTTTCTAAGAGTGAAAATACATAGTTCTCAAATCTCTGTAATAGAATTAAAGCATCTTTCCCATTTTCCTCTTTTAAAAAATAGAAAAACATACATTTTAAAAAGTGAAATCCACATTGTTCTTATTGTAGATGTAATTCAGAATGCTGGTGCCTTTGTTTCCTCACTACAGAATGAGGGTATTGGAGATCATCTCTAAAATTCCTTGTGGGGCTACTATTTTGTGTTACTGTCATACCATCTTCTCTCACCTTGAGTGTGCAGACCTCTAAATTCCTAGAGTCGCCTTCTCTTAATCTAGCACTTTGTAATCTCCATAATAATAATAGCTCTTCATAATTATCACTTGGTAAAAATACATATGGCAAAAGGGTTCATCCATACATAGAAGAATGTCTTGGTTGGACCATTACATTTTATTATTGTCTTTAAGTTAGCAAACTGGTCACCTATGCTTGGCATATATGCTAATGCTATTAATCAGATTGTGTTACTAAAAAGACTGTTTCAGAAATACTTGACAACGCCAAATAGAGTTTTCTAAATTCTACTTTAATAATAAGATATGGTGTTTAACACTTATGTTTATAAACTTTAAAGGAATACAGTTAAGCTCAAGTTATTTTGTTTTGTATACATGGAGACATATTTTATCTTGTTTCTAGAGATAGTGGGATAATACCTATATGATAGTAGCTCTATTAATTTATACGGACTAAACATATTTATTAAATCTGTCTTCACTTATCATCTATGTTTTCCCCAAACCTATAAACTAAAATAAGAATTGCCTGGCCACTACACAAAATTGTGAGAAATTTTTTTAAAATGTTGTTTTAAACCAGGGGTGGGCAAACTTTTTGACTCGAGGGCCACAATGGGCTCTTAAACTGGACCGGAGGGCCAGAACAAAAGCATGGATGGAGTGTTTGTGTGAACTAATATAAATTCAAAGTAAACATCATTACATAAAAGGGTACGGTCTTTTTTTTTTTTTTAGTTTTATTCATTTCAAACGGGCCGGATACCGCCCGCGGGCCGTAGTTTGCCCACGGCTGTTTTAAATCATTAAATTTTGAGATGACTCATTACACAGCAAAACTATCTGATGGAGCCTGACTGGTGTGGCTCAGTTAGTTCAGTTGGTTGGACATCATCCTATGCACCAAAAGGTTGCTGGTTTGATTCCTGGTTAGGGCACATGCCCAGGTTTCGGGCTCAATCCCTGGTAGGAAGCAGCCGATGTCTTGCTCTCACATCAATGTTTCTCTTTCTCTCTCCCTTTCCCTTCCTTTCTTGCTAAATATCAATAAAAATGTCAATAAAAAGCGTCGGCCTGTAGACTGAGGGGTCCCGGGTTTGATTCCAGTCAAGGGCATGTACCTTGGTTGCAGGCACATTCCCAGTGAGGGGTGTGCAGGAGGCGACTGATTGATGTTTCTCTCTCATCGATGTTTCTGACTCTCTATCCCTCTCCCTTCCTCTCTGTAAAAAATCAATAAAATATATTTTTTTAAAAATAACTATCTGAGACATATGGTGACCAGCAAAAAGAAAAAAGAAATGCTCTGGGGATTAATACCATTATTTGTCTTAAAAAAAAACCCCAACAGAATTCCCAAGTCTCTTCCATTTTTTATGATTCAGTACAATAAAAGTCTCATAAATTTTATTGAAGTTACAAAGTCAATGAGCAAATCTTATTCCATCTCCTACTCTGTCTTCACTGAATCTCAGACAAAGACCAATAATAGGTCATTTAGGTCCTCTAAAGTGAGCTAAGTAATAAATACAATTCTATAATAATTTTTTATAGATACCATTTTTCTGACATTTATAATTTGTAGAGGCAGATTAAGACCAAAGGCCATTATTAATTACCACCTCTATCAACAAATTCAAAATAGCAAAGTACTTAAATTTGGGGCCTTCTGATATGCAGACATTTAATAGCACCATTTCCTTTTTTCTAATTGGAAGAAGAAAAAAATATTAGTTAACATACACACATGGAGAGATTAGATTTTTATATATGTTTGACATTAACAGTTTACCAAAAACACTTAATGGCATTTTCTTCTATGTGTTTCTCTTAAGTGTTATCTTTATTTATTTATTTTTAAGGAACTTCAGGTAACACACTAAATACATTATTTGTTATTATGATTTATTGTGAAATGATGTAAATTATGAATTCATTCTTTTATTACACTAGCTAAAATACCTTCCATGGAAAGGAAGTTTAACGTATTATCAATGCCTAATTACAGTTGACTTCTGAACTCACTAACTACTCATCCTCCTTGGGTGGTATCTCAAAACTACTGGCCAGCCAGACGATGAGATCCAAGATGGGATTGGGAAATTTGGGGGAGACTATCTCTTCAGTGTTAGAGTGGGGCAAGCTGGCAACAAATTCGAATTCTGATTCCTCCCAGGAGAGCTCGTTGGCTGTGGAGTAGGAAAGATGAACTCCTTGGAAAGTCATTGTCTTCCTCCCGGGCAATGCATAGTTTATGCTCTGCCAAACTCTGCAAGGGAACACATGAGCTCTGAATTTTAAAAATCTTCTCTAGTAAATGAGACCAGACCACTTTTATAGATAGCCTCTAAGCCAGCGATGGCTAACCTTTTGAGCTCGGCGTGTCAGCATTTTGAAAAACCCTAACTTAACTCTGGTGCCGTGTCACATATAGAAATTTTTTGATATTTGCAACCATAACAAAGACTTATATTTTTGATATTTATTTTATATATTTAAATGCCATTTAACCAAGAAAAATCAACCCAAAAAATGAGTTCGCGTGTCACCTCTGACATGCGTGTCATAGGTTCGCCATCACTGCTCTAAGCTCACACACCAAAGACAAACATAGCAGAGGTTCTATTTACTGCAAGACTTTGTATCAGCAAAGGAGGGCTGCTTCATCCACAGGAAACTGCATACCAAGTTACAGAAAACATTGCTCTTGAGTTTTGTATCAGTTTGTCTGGCTTATGGCCTGCTTCCCAGGTCCCATAGTCCCTACGCCCCAAGGGCTCTGCCTGGAGAGCAAGGCACCAGCTGAGGGCTGTGCTGTTCTTCCTGCCCACCAGGTACCAAGCCCAGCTTTGAAGTTGCTGTTCGCTAGGTATTTTATCCACCTGCAAAAATGTCCTACGTTCTGTACCTTTAAGAAATAGGAGTGCCTAGATATTGTTTACTTTTAGGGTTCTCATTCTAATAAACTGCTTCAACATTCAGTCCTATTATGATCGCATTCATAAATTAATCACTTCTGATAAGACATCTGTTTTAAATAGGAAGTCCAATAAACTTCCTCTGTTGAC